TATATATATATATATATATATATATATATATATATATATAATTTTGGGGGGAGTGGTGGTGCAGAGGCTAGAAAAGGTGGGCCTGTGATCGGAAGATTGCTGGTTCAAGCCCCCGCACCGACAACATAAAAAATGTGGGTGGGGTGGGTGAAGCACCCACACCTGCCCCCACCCTCCCCACCCTGGGCCCATGAGCAAGGCCCCCAACCCCCCTCCGCTCCCCAAACATGTCTCTTTTGAAAATGAGTTCTCGTGGCTCAATAAGGCTACCTGTATAAATAAATGGTAAATGAAATAAAGTGAAAAACCCAGTGCATTTATTCTGTGGCAAGGTGCTGACAGTGATATTCAACCTTTATTTAAAAAGGTTAGTCCCATTGAGCATGAGGACCCATTTACAAGAGAGACCTGAATATGCTGAACTGGAGGTGCTGAAAGGGCAAATGCAGGCCCATAAAGTTACCACACTGTTCGAGTTTGAAAGCACAACCATCAGTATTTACAAGAGCACAGAAATCCAAAGACAACATTATAGTCCCCATAAAGCTTATAATGCAGCAGCTAAGAAGGATTGCATCATAGCTTCTGCAGCCTCTCACCAACTGTATCACCTGCAAAATACATATGACCTGATCGTATTTAAAAGAAAAAGATTTTTCTTATAAAATCCAAAAATGAAATGTAAAATTAAAAATAATCATTTATTATATGTATTATGAGTGCATTATATGCACTCAACTGCACATGCACATATTTCTGTATGAGAAAAACAGAACATAAGTTTACAAAGGTTTGCAAAAATGAATGTGCAAACACTGATAACTGTGGTTTTATTAATTTACGTATAACTGAAGCATCATATGGGTTTACAAATGAAGTGTGGCCCTCAGAGGACTGTCTAAGAATTTAAATGGCCCTAAGAGTGAAAAGAGTCCCCACCCCGGATGTATGTAATGTAACTGAACTCACAGGCAGTGGACAATGGTGCGTCCCTCCTCACACTCCCTCTGCCAGTTGTGAACCTGAGCCAAGAGGCTGAGGAAGGCCTTCTTGGAGTCGGGCACATCGCGGTACGGGGACCAACGCAGGAACTGGAAGTGGCGCACCACAAGTTGGCCCTCCTGAAGCTATAGAAGAAAAGAAGAAAAAAATGAGGATTTAAAAAAAAATCTGTTTATTTGTTAATTAGTAAAGCAGTACACATCCCATCATTCCAAGGAAAATCACCCAGGAACAATGTTGTTAAAATATTAAAGCAGTTTGCATCAGTTTAATTTTAATTTAAAATGTCAGTTTTAGTTGTATAAAACCAATTTTACTAAATTTAACTATAAACCATCATCTCTACCACATTATTTGATCTAATTTTACTAACTACGTGTAAAATGAGCGGCACGATGCAGCTGGTAGAGCTGTTGCCTTTCAGTGAGAA